TGATTTAAATGACTTGACAAAAGTCATCTAAAAAAGAACAAATTCAATACTGACCTGATTGCATTTATTAAGCCATTCACGTGGGCTATATACCTTAAGATTTTCTAAAGAGAATCTATTACTATCTCGAATTAGTTGCTCTAAATCTTTGAATAACGACACAAGTTCTGCCTTCGCTATTTCAACAATTGCATCAATATGCTTTTGTTGATTATCAAATCAGAAATTCCACTGTGCGGCAAGTGCATCACTGATTATAAGTTCCTCATACAAATTATGGGCCGTAATTACATCATTATAAACCTGATTTTTTAATTCAACTATTTCGTTTCTTTGTTGCTCTAAAAAATTACAGGTCATAATTATATCCTCATAAGCCTTTTGTAATTGATTTCTCAATTCAACTATTTTGTTTCTTTAATCTTCTAAAACTTGAGATTTCTGCTGATTCTCTATTTGAGCAACCTCTAAAAGTCTCCTAGTTCTGTCAAGTTCAACCATCAGATCAGTATAACTCATAGCTACATTATGATTGGTATAATTTATGGCTAAGTTATCTTGATCGGTATCAGGTAGGACCCCTTCTTGATCTAAACTTGCAAGATTATAATAATTGTTAGCAACAATTTGATTGTAATACCTTTGACAAATAATATAAGTAGCTAAAGAAGAATGACGATCAGCAAGTTCTGGCATATAGGGTTGAAGAAGAACAAGTCATCTAGCTACCACCGGAGCATTAGCATTTCGTATTCTTCGTGGGTCTTGATCACAAGGTTTCAAGCCAAATGTATCGTACGTTTCAACTAAATCTGCAAAAATACATTGAGGAGTTTCTTCTGATTGCTCTTGCGAAGTTGACACTACAAAAAATATAAATCCAATTAGCTAAATTACATTTTTACAGTTCAGTTCGTGTAAGACAGATCTTCGAATTTCGAGTCTCATTTACTTTTTTGAGGAATGCAAATTAGAGTGGATTATTGTGGATTATTTAAACTAGTTGTTTTCTACTATCTACTTGTATATCGATTCGCGGTTTCTATAACGACTAAAGGGTATAAAAATTTTCCGAAAAGTGCTGCCAAAGGAGCGCACGGGAGCCAATCAGATCTAAGAATCGACGCACAGATCATTCTAGAACCCGATTTCCTAATCTAGAACCCGATTTCTTAATTCGGTATATTCCCTGACTGATATGTATGTTTAAAGGTTACGCGTATAGTTATAGATATTCTTACCGTATCGATCTATAAGCTTTTCCTCATCTTAGCATTTCTATTAAAGTTTAATCTTTTCATTTTACACCATATATCATCTCGCGTCTGTGCTTCTCTTCACGTCGAAACTCCACGTTACGATTATTACCTTTATTGTTAGTATGGGATTCTGTTAGGTGGAAGAATTCACGAATTTTATTTGAGAGTACTCAAATAAACATGACATACCAATACTCAATATATTAATATAACATTGCAATAAAAAAAAAACAAATTAATCTAGTAATTGATGACTGAAATAATATAAATATAAATATAAATTATTAACACTTTTTATAAAGCAAATTTATTTAAAAAATTAAAAAAAAATTCTTAATACATTTGTAATAATTATTAATTTTGTTTTTTCTTGTTAGTAACATTTCAAATCTAATGCACAATGCGTATTAATGAAAATTTTAAATATAGGAAATTTTTTTCAATTAATGGTTTTTGTTTTTTTCTTAATTGTCTTTTTTTTTTTTTTTAGAAAAAAAAATTTTTTCAAGATTAATAAACTATAAAAGTTTTAAAAGTTCAATTCAAGTCGATAATTTGAAAAATGACGACGACGGTTTTTTTTTTCAAAAAGGCTATGATATGGGGAAAAAATATATTTAATATCCAGCGGCAATTCCATTCTTTCTAAAATCGCTTGCAGCTACACGTAATAAAAATAGTTATTAATAAAAATTAGGTGTGATTAATATCATTCCAATATAAATATATATATATATACGTACCATGAATAGTTCCATTAGGGAACTTTCTAACACATTGAACTTGACATCCATAACCTCTATTATAGATGCTGTGTATTTTAACCTATTAAAAAAAAAATAAGGTTTGAATTTTGAGTTGTTAATATTAATTTATTATTAGACATTCAAAGTAAAAAGAATGGAAGTTATACTTACAACATGACCAATTTTAATAAGTTTTTCTAATATCTCATATGGAAATCCTGACTCGACAAATAACTATAAATTCGTAATAAAATAATTAATTATCTGTTGTTATTTCATATTGAAAAAAGTTCTACGTATAGAGAAGTTATATTTACCTCATTTGGCAATAATGGATGGTATAATCTTGGATAGTCAATAGCTTCCAGAACGTTCATATTAAACTCATAAATATTTAATAATGTCTGTATAAATGATCAAAAATTTTATTATTGTTAGTAATTCAGTAAAGGGGTTAAATAAAACTGAGTTTTGATAAGTACCTGTGTAACAGCCGACATAATTCTGGTACCACCACTAGCACCAACCGCCATTTCAAACCTTCCATCAGGTCTTTCAATTATAGTAGGACATGTTGATGACATTGGTTTTTTACCTGGTGCAGGGAAATTATGAGGAGCAGGCCAGAATCTTTCAATTGATGGTGGTACAGGAATTGCGAAATCATCCATTTGATCATTAAATAAGATTCCAGTGTTTGAATCCATAACTTGAGAACCCCAGAAATGATTAAGTGTAGCAGTCATACTAACGGCCATCTCATCAGCATCTACAACAGAAATATGAGTTGTACCATGATCTTCGAGTGTAGCATACTCTGGATCATAATGATCTGGTATCCATGTACGGGCTTCAGAAAGATTAGCACGAATCCTTGCAGCATATTCTTTGGAAATGATTTCTTTTATACGCTCTTTATGAGCTGTGGTATTTTTGAAAAATGCAGGATCTCCTAATTCAGTACGTCTAGCAATGGCATATTTGAAAGATTCAGCCATTCTTTGCATATTTAATACTGTACGGCCGTTTTCGTGAAACTTGTATTCTTCCAAAACATTTAACAAAAATAATAATATTGTTCCACTACCAGGTTCAGGAGATGTTATGACCTATTTTCAAAATATATATGATTAACTAATTAGAAAAAAAAAGTGAAAACTTGTTATATCGATATGATAACAAACCTTTTTTCCTTGGAAATATCCTACAAGAGGTTCACGAATTGTAGGTTTATAGGCAGCCAAATCTTCCATAGTTATTATACCACCTTTACCTTGGATAGTATCGACAGTTGATCTTGCGATTGAACCCTTTAATTACAAATTATATATTTAAATTATAAATAATAAAATAGTTAAAACTTAAATTTGAAGCTAATGAAATAATATATACCTCATAAAATTCATTAACATCTTCAGAAACTTTTTCCAATGATCTGGAATAATTAGTTCGATACATCATATCTCCTAGTTTCTTTAATTTACCATCCTCATCACAAAATATTTCGCATAATTCTTTGTTATGTTCGATTTTGTATGTGTACATCTTTTATTAAAAAATTTATGAGTGAGTGAATCATGTGAAAAAAAAATGTATATATGTGTATAATTATATGATTTATAAATTTTAGGATTAAAATACCTTCATAGTAACATATAATTCAAGTGGAATAGGAAATCCTTCTCGAGCAATTCTAATTGAAGGTTCAAGAAGACGTTTCCAAGGAAGTTTACCGTGTCTAATAAAATAATATAAAATTAATAACATTAAACAATAATTGTATAAATGTAAAATTATTAAAGTCATATTGATACATACCGCTCATGAGCTAATTTCAATCCACGGAGTTCACCACTATATAGAAAAAAAATTTTTTTTACAATAGTTATATAATAGTTACAAAAAAAAAAAAAAATACAATTAAGAATTCACATATTATATAATACTTACGGTACAGCAATAGAAAGGGGTCCAACTTTAGCCTTTAGAGGCTCTTGCTTAAACATATCTTCATAAACAGCACGAGGAGCGACTTCACGAAAATCTATAACCTCAGCGAAACCATTTGGTAACCTAACTAACATGAATCCACCTCTATTATAGTTATCACGTGAATATAAAGAGTATTTCAGTCACACTCAACTCAAAATAATATAATAATAATAATAATAATTATAATAATAATAAACATACCCTCCAATTCCAGCAGCAAAAACATTAACTGTACCAACACATATGTGAGTTGTAATAGCAGCATCGACGGCATTTCCACCTTCCTTTAAAACTAAATAAAAAATTTACGTATAAAATTTTCTTTTTAATTTTATAAATGTAAAATAATAATAATAATAAAGATAAATAATGATAAGTTAATTACCTTCAACACCAAATCGAGAGCAATTAACGACTTCAGAAGCGACAGCGCCAGTTTGCGCAATAATTAAATTTGGATCAGCCCAATCAAAATCATTTTCTACTTCTATAAAAATTATTTATTAATCAAAATTTAGTTAATATTATCGATATTATGTAAAAAAAAAAAAAAAATTTTTTTTTTATTAACAAATAAACGAACCATCAATTATCAAAAACCAATTTAAAGAGAACCATAAAACAGCGATGATACAAGCCGCACCAACAACAATTTTTAAAATATTTTTCCATAATTGTGAAGGGCGCCTAATACGACTTAATAAACCAATTTTATCGTCATCATCAGAGCTACTTGCATGATAACGAGGTAATCCTTCTTCAATCGATTGGTAGGTGGTCATTCTCCTCCTCTTTTTTTTAATTTATTCTTTTTAATTAATGACCTGAGATCCCACGATATGATGTTGGATTTTTTTTTTTTTTATAATTTATATTTAAAATATAAATTTCGAGGGGAGGTAAAGAACAGAAAAATTTTGGCTTCCCTCATCAGTGGGCATTTTATACAAAAAAAAAACTTGTATAATATAAAATAATCTAAAGTAAATTAAAACTAATATATTAAAATAATAACGATAATAAAAAGATTTTAAAGCCAAATCAATCAATAATCAAAATGTCCGAATAACTATACATACATATCGCATCTAAATCATTAAACTAATAGTCTAAAAAGTATTTCAGAGTTCTATGAATATCTGTTTTATCCAAAAATGGTATCTCATTTTTGAACTCTATTGTCTTGTATATAAAATAATGTAAACACAGTACGTACGACCTCGGACAAAACGACGTCAAAAAAAAAAAGAAAAACATCTTTAGGGTACGCATAGAAATTTGAAATAACGTTGATCAAATACATACAATGTAAGATTATGCTAAATAGGAGGTACGAATGTATATATAAATATGCAACAAATAATAAAACGGTAAAAAAAAACGCCGTTTCTAATAATCGGAACAGTGTAACCCTTCATTGAAATGCCACGCAAATAAACAATCTTGGATATTTGAAGATCCCAGGACACAGACCAAGCGCAGTCGATAGTAAGTAATGATAAATACCGGTATTTACATAACAAGTACAAGACAAATTTAATAATAATAATAATAGTAATAATAATAATTAAAAACTGTAATAACAATGAAGGTAGATTACTTGATGTTAAGAAAGTACCTACTACGTTAAGAATTTTCAGTACTGGTTGGTTCTCACATTTCGGACTTTCGGTGAATAAATATAATGAGGTGATTTACAGAAAAAATCATGTTTATGATTAGATTAAGATTAGATTGTAAGATATCAATTTTACTATGTTTTTCAACCATTTTTAGAACTTAAAAGATCTATTGCTATTGTTCCATGTATATTTTAATAGTTAGTTACCCGAGTCTACAAAATTAGTTAATTCACCCGAGTCTACAAAATTAGTCAATTGGCGCTAATTTAATGGAGATGCACGTGAATACAATTAATAAATGTAATAAAGTATTTATTTCACCCCAAATCCAGTTGTGTCAAATATCAATATGCTGTGAGAAAAAACCGAAAAACACGTTACTAAAGATAACAATTTCATTGGATACATTTGTTCGATAGACTTCGATAGAAAAAACAATATGAAACAGGTTCATTAATCTAATATCGAATAGAATGGTTAGTAGATAATCTACGTACGCATGTAAAAAAAAAAGGAAAGAAAATCAGATGCAGAAAAAGGTTTATCTAAAAACAAAATATAAGCGTAAGACCGGGAATACCAATAAAAAAAAAATAAAAAAAATCTTATTATATATTTTAGCGTTAGATCTTGGCTTTCGCTGTTAATCTAGGGCTAAATATAAGGCTAAGTTTTCGCTATTAGATTATAATAATAATATTATTATACTGTACGAAAAAATTAAAAATTTTGTTTTGTAAGTATGTACGCAGTAAATAGTTTCATAGAAGTTTCGTTCAATAAATGTACTGTATAAATGTACTGTACAGCTGTAAAGGCACCGTAAAGGTTAAACAAAAATAAAAATAAAGCAAATTCCCATTTACGTACGTATGTGCATACTTGAGTGCGTACGAACGTATATACCCAATCATTATAAGAGGAAAAATTTTGACATTTCTCCAAGTATTGCGTCATTTAAAAATTTTTTATAGAAATCGAAATGATTTTATGCACGTATCGATATCAGTACAACCATGTATAACGATAATTAAAATGATTTAGTAATTAATCAAGGCTTTAACGCAACCCCGTATAGTTATAAAGTGCCAGTATTTTGTTAACTTTGTCTAAATTCGTAAGTGTAACACGTACAACATCAAGAATGTTCACACTGGGGTTAATTAAAGTTAAGAGGCAACCCATAATAAAAAAAATTGCCGATCTATCGTACCACCACATCTTTCATGCGTATTATATTATATATAATTATAATATTATTAAAATTATATCGCTTTATAAAAAAAGAAATTGGATGAAATTATCCAAAATTATGATTTGTTTATTCATATTTTGTTTATTATTATTATTACAATGGCTTATCAAGCAAATTTTAACTATATACTACAGTATTTATGATCCAGCCACGATCCGGATTTTTATGGACAATAGACATACAATAGTGCTTTTAATTACATTGTACTCTACATTACTCTATATCGTATTCTACATTACTCTATATCATCGTATTCTACATTATACGTACTTTACATTGTACTTTAATCGAAAATATTCCAGAAACTGATTTCTACTGCGCGCATCGAAGTGAGTCAAAGATGTAGCCTTATAAGGCTTTTAGAACAAATTTAATCATTATATTATGAGTATATTCATTAAGGATATCAATTAATTTAATCAAAAAGTCCTAAAGTTGTAACGTTACATCCTGACCAAAGTTGGTGGTTTTTTTTTAAATGAAATCCATAAATGATCTTTCGTCGGTTGTATTATTTTTTAAGGATTTCTTATATTAAATAAGTATATTAAATGAGTATATTAAGTGAGTGTATTAACTGAGTATATTAAGTGAGTATATTAAGTGAGTATATTAAGTGAGCATATTAAATGAGCAAACGAAACTACTATTAATCAGGAACAGATTAAATACTAATTCGAGAACTCCTTATCAATCAAAGCTTTTAATTTTGAATACTGGAATAATTGTAAAACCCTTAAAGAACCTGCAGAACCTGCTTGGCTTTTTTTTTCTTATCCGTTTGAAACCGGGAGAAGAATCTATTTTTGTGAAACAATTTAATGATCCAGATAACAATCTATAATCTTAAACTTCGTATGGAACATTAAGATATAGATATGCCCTTTTTGATTTTTTATTTTTGATTTTTGATTTTTGATTTATGGCGTGAAGAAAAAATAAGGTTGATTACGTAACAGATAATTTTAGAACCTTAGAACCTTAGAACCTTATATATAATGATAAACTGAATATGGTCATTCTGGTGTAACATTCGTCGATGAAGTTTTTTTTTTGACTTTACTAAATTAACAACTATATAATCTACTTGCATTAATAATCTCTCTAGTGTTAGTCCGAAATTTTTGATTGGACGTTAGATATACTCTCATGCGATCATTGCACGATACATACGTACGCAAATTGTAATATCAGAATGTCGACATAAACATCTCTCTTGTGTATTTGTATGTAATTGTAATACAAACCGCAATAAAACTGTGAATATTATCATCGCTATTTCTCACCCTTTCACTTTTCTTTTCATCTTTTTCACTTTTTTCTTTTTCACTTTTTTCTTTTTCACTTTTTTCACCCTTTTTACTTTTCCATTTTTTCTTTGTAAAAAACACGCTTTTAACCTATAAAGAAACAAATTTCATTACCATCTACTATAACTTACCCTTTAAAAAATGATATCATCCTATAGCCGACACTTTTAGTTACGACTTACAATAACCTTTAGAAAAAGAATTAAATTATTATATACTTACGATGATCTTTAATTCACCGTTGTTTACAAAAAAAAAAAACTGAATTTATGTATTAAAAGGAAAAAAATTTAATAAAATTAATGCACATACGTACGGACGTACTGTACATCACGTACATCCTTATTTTAATTCATAAAGGATCTTCACCTTCGTATATCAATTCCTCGTGGAATCACACTTTAAATATATGCGTACGTACCTGCGTATCTGGTATCTACTATACATACCTAATACCCGATACCAGGTATATACACACATATACAGTATATATATATATATGTCTTCCCCGATGTTCTCATAAGGAAAATCAGCTTTCTATTAAATCATGTTAAAAAACATATATGAGCTACCCCAAATATCGACCATCTCGACTATAATCATATGATGAATTCCGAAAACATATTTCTTTTATTTTTTTGATCGATGTTTTTTTTTGTTTCATATTTATTAAAATCTTGTTGGTTTTTTTCATGTTTCTTTTAAACCCTCAAAAGTATTTACAGTGATAGAAATTTAATTTTCTTAACCTGTAATTTCTTTAATTAATAGAGAATATATTTATATATTTATATTTATTAAGGTTTTTTTGGGAAATATTAAGTTCTTTTGAATGATTATAGAATTATTTTGAATGATTGTACAGTATCAACTGTCATAATTTTATCAAACAAATATTTTATCACGTATCATACCATAATTTACTATCAAAGATGTTATTCTCACGCAATAGTTGGTCAAAGAAGGTGAGAAGCTGTGATGCTAACGTTCATACAGTACATATCATTCCCTCTTTATATATGATAAAACTAAATTTATCAATTTTATCGTTAATAGATGCAAAGGATTAGTGAAACACGAAATATTGAATTTTTCGTGTTAACTTCATTAATCCAATTCTTGGTCATGATCTTTTTTTATCTAAGATTATGGAATCGTTTTAACTTCATCATACACTCGAATGATTCTAGTGACGATGGATGTTTAAATAATAATCATATGTCTTCAAATGACTATCCTTCTTCATTTGTTCTTGAATTTCTCTTTCTCGTATTATATCAAATTTTCCAATTTAATTTTGCTTTAAATGCGGTATGTTTTTAACTTTCTTTTGAATTTTATCGTTATTCAGAATATAATTTCTATAATACAGTATTATAAACACCTGTTGCTTACTTATTATGTTTATTAAATTTATTTTCCCTTTTTTATTATTAGGTAGTCACTCAATATTGTGCTCAAGTTAGTATCATTGCTCTCATGAATGGAATAATATCTTTGTATGGTTTCGTAGGTATCACCTTTTCCTATTGAGTGATAAAGTAATGAATTTCTTATTATCCATTCACTAATTCTTTTATTTGATTAGATCCATTTTCTTGAGATTAGAAGAATAGTTAACGAAATAAACGCTTCTTGTGCTATAGCTCCTAATCCACAATACTTGGCTTATGATTTTCCTTTCATTGTCACCTCTTTAATATTTGCTATCACAATGGGTTATTTCGCTTATAAAGTTCGTCGCGATCTTTCTGGAAGAATTTATAAAAAGATCGGACTTGATATGACAATGCAAGGTATCTTATAGAGTATATTTAATTATTTACTTACTAGATACGTAAATACTTACTTAAAAGACATTTTATCTAACCTTTTTTTTTTTCTTTATTAATAGTCTTCTTTAAAATACGACTTATCTTTATGATGTTGATGAAACTCAACATGTTCTTTATGACAATCACTACTGTCATGACTACATTTTTATTCATATATGTTACAAAGGAAATGCCATCAAATGTTATCTTCAGAACTTTGATTATCATTCAATTTTTTATTACTTATGTACAATTTGCCGCTCAATATGTCGTTCATCGCGCGGTAATTTTTTTTAACTTTAATGATTATAATAATATTGATAATAAGCTTTATAATCATACCAATATATTAATATTTATTATTTTATTTCATATTTATTCTATTATAGGTTCCAAAAGAAAGTTTCTCATTAATGAAACTATTTAATTTTCTT